CCATGTTCAGAGGGTTAAATGAAATAAGAAGAAATTTAACAGATGTAAATGGAAATACAGTATCCATCCCTTGCATAATACGCATAATATCTGCAGGACGAGATGAAAAAGAAGTTCAGTGACTCAGGTGATAAAGTAGGGGTGTGTGATGGTAGGAGAGAATGTGGCATCAGGGAGACGGGCTGTATTATCCTTCCAGAGGAAATAAAACAGACAGGACAGGATCCTCCACCTCCCTTCTCAGGCCCTTTCGCCTTGTGTGGTATATGGGTATGGGTATGGGCATGGGTATGGGATAGGGTACATGTTTGAGGAGAGGACATGTAAGTTCGTGATGTTCGTTCGTTTCCTTTCACACCAAGTTATACATTCATTATTCATCCTTCGTACGGAGTGTCAAGGTTCGTGGTGTGCCATGTCAAGCGAATACATCGATGTGGGGTTCGGGATGGATGGGCTATCGTTGGAAATTTGGCATTGGAAAAAAACGTAATCAGGATGAAGGAGGAAGGATGAAAAAGAAAAGGGATATCAGATAGATGATAATCAGAAAGAGAAACAAAAAAACGGAAAACAGAACAGAACAGAGAAGTTTGGATGAGAGGCATAACAAGACAAGACAGGAGACGCATCGGAAACATTGTTAAAAAAAATAGATGTAAAAGGGTACGAGAATGCAAACTGCCTCAAAATCTCCAGAAATTAAAATAGAAAAAATAGAGTTAACCGATCAAAATTCGACTCATTTCGTCGTTCCCAAGATTTGCTTCGGAAAACAAAAGCCAGGAAAAAAAATATACACACGGGGAGAATAATGTCCCATCTTGGCGGTCAAAAAATTCCGTGCTGTTCCCCGCCGAACGAGCCCCTTCTCCCATTTTCCGCGTTTCGGCAAAATTGAAGGTAGTTGGTACATTGGGCATACGGCAGGAACTAGGACACACGAAGTAGTAGCAGTGATAAATCACAAAAGCTTAAAACATGTTATTTTCTTTGAAACGGTGGTTTGGCTCTCCCTTTCTTCTTGGGTGGAAGGGTTGGCGGGTCCGCGGAGAGGGTGTTGCTTTTGGAGGACGAAAAAAGAAGTTGATATTTTTGATACGCCGAGACTCTGTCTCTTTTTCTTTTTCTTTTTTTTGTCCTTCTGTCTTCTGTTATCTTACCACCCCTTCTTCCGCGCAAACCGTTTGTTCAGCAACGAAAGCACCCTGGAAACGTTGAACTGGACGTATTCCAGATCGAGGTCTTCCTGGTTATCCTTCTGCATTTCCAGAAGATCGTCCAGTTTCAGATCTAGTTCTAGAAGACCTCGCGCACGACCTAAAGCACAAATAGATATAGAGTTATGTGGTTAGTAGGGTCGCAAAGCCTCCAACAAAAGAT